GCAACTACCCAAACTTGGGTTGTTCTATAACCAATTGTTTGGGTTAGAGTTTCAGCTAAATTAGACCAAATTTAATTTGGTCTTGAATAACTACAACTTTTGGTTGAATGTAACATAAATTCTAACCCAATTAAACAATTGGTTACAGAACAATGGGTAGTTGCAGTTTTCACCCTTTCTTGGATAAAATTAACCCAGGCATTACATTTTTTTCAGTGTTGGCACTCGCCTGATCCATGCTGACAGATAAACTTGGATTTTATAACCGGTCAGCCAGCTTCCGAAAAACCAAAAAAGTTGGGGGGGGGGCTGTTCAAAACGACGATGGGCACCATCAGACAATAGGTGGCGATTTCCTGGCAGCAGGGACGCTCGAGAAAACAAGGGAACCTCTGATGAATGCTCGTTTGGACTAAATCACACATGGCATTCAATACTATGTCCTCGTCCATTTTGTGATTACGTTCGCCCATAATTGATTGCAGTCGTAGCTCAGTTTTCCTCTCATATTTAAATGCAGAAATAAGCAGAATTTGTGGGTGAGGCGTTATGAAACGAATACAGACTGCTCTGACGCGGGGAAGAGTAAAATCTGTGATCAAGGGAGCGTTCTATTTCTCCAGATAGTACTCTTCAAGGGATCACCTTGGAAGGTTAGTTTTGTACTATATCACACTTAGCACTCAATACAAATATCCTAGTCCATTTTGTGATTACGTTCGCAATAATTGATTGCAATCGTACCTCAGTTTTCCTCTCATATTTAAATGCAGAAAAGTAATCTTCCCAACAGTGTAACCATCATTCCTACCTTAGCTCAGAGCAGAATTTTATTATGCCCATGCAAAGACCAAAAAGCAATAAAACATGTATTTTTAGACAAACATATGTCGCAGAAGCTGTTTATGATGTAGGCCATCAGCTTCGGTCCAAACTTTTGGCAACCGGTATCAAGTGAGGGGAATAATCGTCATAGCGATTTTTGGCAAGGTATTCATCTCCAGAGTTGGAAAATATGTGATAGCATTGCAGCGGTGGCAGCTTTTTAGGTGTTATCACCCTTTTTTTCAAAATGTTCATCAAAATGCTTGTTACCATTCTAGGGGCGATATACCTTGAGCATGCGCACTATAATCATTTATGCTCTGATTTGATACTGACCAAGCCCCCTAGCTGATGGCCTAATGCAGTGACATAGCCAGCAGGGGGTGGGGGTGGGGGGTGTTCATGACCAGGTTTAGGCTACCCCCCACCGAACATTTGAATATTTCTTTGGCGGTACGGTGGTAAAATACTTCTGTGTTCCACTTACATTCTGTTATGCACATATCCAGTACATAAATTATTTTACATTCTCGTCACCGTGACAAAGACTACCGGCGGTAGTCCCGCAACATCAGAATTTCATTGCATTCTCTTTACGGCTTTATACTCATGAATATTAATAACATTGATACGATGTTCTCAATAGCTAGCTATTGCTGGTGTTTGCACATACAACTTCTGAGTTTATGCAACATTATGTTCATCGAAAATAAATAGTGAATTGCCATTTTTGTCTTTGCTTGCTGATAACACAATTCTGTTCTGAGGCTAAGAACAGAATCATTGGTGCACCGTTACTTTAGATTTAAACATAAAATATTTTACTTCCGCCTTTGCTCATATGAAAATTCCTAAAATGGAGACATTTGAATTGGATTTTGTTTAATTAATCAGAAATCTCTAGAAAATAGGCAGAATATAAACAGTCTTGGGGTACAGTGTAAGTTTTTTAGGGTGCGTTCAATTTTCCAAAATAGAACCCCAGTCTTCTTGGGATTACCTCGGAAGGCTAGTGTTTGTGTTAAATCACACAAAACATTCACTAACACTCTAAGCTATTATCTTATTTCTTTTCCCGTCTCATTGATTGAAATCATACCTCGCCAATTTTCCTCCCACATCTTAATGCAAAAACAAAAATCATATTTTGTACAGTCTAGCCAAGAAGAACCAATAACCATTCTTTTGTTAGCTGAGAGCAGAATTTTATTATGCCCATGCAGCGATAACAAAAACGTAAAACGTTTATTTTTAGATAAGCATAATGTGGCATTAAATCCAAGGACGTTAGAGGCTCCGTCAATCTCAATATTGAAGTCTATCGATACCGATTTTATTTTTGAGTAGCTATTTGCTGTACAAGAATGCGCTTCAAAACATTAGACCACGTCTGCCACGTATAAACTTCCATTGGTTTAGGCAACAACAAAGTTCAAATAAAGTAAACAGCTACCTACGTGTCAACAAAATTTCATAAATTTGATCCTAAATAACTCTGTTGTTTACCAATGAAATTAAACCACAATTTCACATTATGGCATGACAAATTTTATGTAGCGAGTTTCATCAGCTTTGTGCAAGAGGGTGAGATTTAAACGCCATACTAAAAAAAACACCTCACTTTCAGAATGACGATACAGCGCTGGATATGGTGGCGGATTCGGGAGCGCGCGTGCTGCGGCCGAAAGCTTCTTAAGAAATGCAGGGTCAACCCTAATGTCATTGCACATCTCCTCCAATGACATCAGAAATGATCCTGTTTTCCTTCAAAAGCTTCCGGCCGGAGCACGCGTCTTCCGCCACCGTCACAAGCGCTGTGTCGACATTGGATGGAGGTCGTCAAGTCGAAAGTGGCAGATTCTGAAAATGAGTATTTTTTTTCGTATGGCGTTTAAATCTCATCCTCTAGCACAAAGCTGATGAAATTTGCATATTTAAATTTGTCATGTTTTTTGTTTTAAATATTCTAAAATTTTGGTTTAATTCCATTGGTAAACAACAGAGTTATTTAGGATCAAAAGTAGGACATTTTTTTCGTTGCGTGGCTGGTCACCACCTGCCCACCGTTTTAGAATTGTTCGAGTTTTAATTTCTTTCTTAAGTTTCCTTTTCCTTAAAATAATTTTCTTCAAAATTTTCACAGCTGCTTGAACTTGAAACATCAACCCTGATATACAGACTTTACAGTGGTGTGCATATTAACATGATACACGACGACATCAACAGTATCAAGTTACAAGTAATTGTTAGTTCAAAAATGGCCATGCTTCAACTATGAACACAATCAGCAATCACGTTCGTACCTTGTGTCTGATAGACCATACCTTGATAAGAGTTGCTTGAGCTTTCCTTGAAATTCCGGGTTGATACCAGAATGTTAAGCTAGGGAGAATTCAAAATGCAGACAGAACCTTTAAAATAAAAGCAACACCATTTTCTCCGAAACGGGTCAAGGCCGGTGTCACGGTCTCACTTCTCCGGCGTGCTAGCTTCTCCAAATTGGAAATTTCGCTCCAACACGCATGCACAAAATTGCGCAGTAGTGTTCACTTTCGACAACTTTATGTGTGTGCTGAGTTCTTTGGGGTTGCACTGGTGCACGTAAGAAGTTAGGATGTGTGTATGTATACGTCACAGGGTACCATCGAATCCAGACCTAGGCATTATGGCCATGGTGGGGTGCGCACAACCTCGTCCCCAGTGCTTACTTTATTTCCAACCGCGTTTCCAATATTAAACCCTGGATAGGAAACTTTCTTCCTGTATCCTGATTGGATGCCGCAATTGGCTAGTAATGGATTTTTATCGTGTACTTGGTGCTATATATTCACAACGTGCAGTACGTGTTTTCGCGATCATTCGTCCACGCCTTCTCGAAAATACTAATTTCCTTTCCAATTTGCTCATATTAATATGAAATATGATACTGCATGTTGTCTCGATAAGATCGTAACAGTTTGATTTCAAAAATCGTGTTTTCGTAACTCACGCCGTGCTCGCGCTGCTACGAATTGACTCTGTTTTTACCCCAGACACCCCATACAAAAACAAACGCTTATGTGTCACGCATATCCAGGCACCAGACTGTTCCTCATTTGCATACGTGTGCAAAAATCTTGCACATGCAAATGATCCAATACCAGGGTGAGAGAGCAGGTAGTGGTGGGCGCGTACTGCTCGACACCCTGGGGACGAGGTTGGGGTGCGCAATATTAACTCCCAACATCCTAATAACCAACAAGACTTTAAGGATGCACATTTACTTTAAACCGTGGTTGAACGTGGTTGCAAATTGGACATGTATGTGATGGACCACGACCGAGCAAGGAACACGCTTCTTAATTTTTCCTAAATGCACACGCAATGACGATGGGAACACAACTTCAGAATGCTTGCAATATGACTTGACCAACAGGAAGTGTTACATAACGCATTCTTGGGTGTCCTTTACTGTCTGTATGGACCGGTAGACTTTACAACACCACCACCACCACCAACTCAGCCCAAGGAAAAGTTAGCACAGCGGACACATGAGCATGAATAGTGCTCATGTAACGTGCACTGTAACGTGCTCAATTATCCGCCAAATCCACCCGGAGAAGCTGGCACGCCGGAGAAGTGAGACCGTGACATCGGGATGTAGATAAAACCTGGTTTAAACATAAACTCCTGACCGAAAGCGTCTACCAATTACTTCGATTATTTTTTTTAACTTTTTTCCATCCATTTTGACAGTTTATCGACACCTGTTGCAAGGTTTACATCCTTCAAACTGCCAGGAAAAAAAGACCAAATTTAAAAATAGGACCCCACGCCCCCCCCCCCTTTCCCCCGTTCTGTCATGGTTTACCAATGATATTTACTTCTTACATCCGATAATCGCTTGTGCGCATGCGTGTGTTAGTTCTATTTTATGGCTCCACCTCCACGAGCGAACTTCTTTTTCTGAGGGGGGGGGGGGTTGTTTGTAAGTTTCCCCTTTTTTTGCGTTTATGATGTGCATGATGTGTCCAAACATGAGCAACGCCACTATAGAGTTACATGGTCTTTAATTTAAACTTCTGTAGATGTACGTGTTTCAACATAACTGTAGATAACTTTTCTCTGACACTTGAACCCAGCTACTACAAAGAAGTGTTCTCGGCGTTGTTCAGTAGACATCAAGATGTGATTGGTACAAACATAAACAACGCCCCTAGAGCCACGTAGTCTTTAATTTAAACGTCTGTACATAATATACAGATGTACGTGTTTCAACAAAACTTGCAATAGACAACGGTTCTGTGATAGGCCTGGACCCAGTTATTACAAAGACGTGTACTCAGCGCTGTTGTAGCGCATTTGTTCAGTAGATACCAAGTTGAAACCATCCAGTGCATTTCCGCCTCCTAGCTTTGATTTGGTTTCAAGTTTCGTTTCAACCTGAAATGTAAGCTTTGCATAAACGTGGCCAGATTGGATATGTCAGTTGCTTTGAAAGTAAAAACGTCCTGGTAATTGAATGTTTTCATTTTTAACGATAATTTGTCACGAATATACACGTCGATATGACGACCGTGATATACTTTTACTGCTGCTCCTGTGCCAATTTCATGAAAAGTGCAAATCGCGCAACAGCCGAATTAATCTGCGGGGGGGGGGGGGTATCATTACAAGTATCTTACTGTCATTCATTTTCTTCCTCACTTTCTAGATTAGCCAGAATGAAGGTTTACGTGTGCCTGCTTCTCCTGATGGTCGTTGGATGTGCCTTGTGTTTTGCAGAGAGTAAGTGCCGTAAATTTGTCCAGTGTTCCATTATCCCTACCGTTCCGACATACAAGTATTCTTATACGTTATAACCACATTCGCACAGCCCTTTGGGCCTGTCGCACATCATGCTTGGAGTAAATATATTTTGAATCGAGTTTTGATAATTACGATAGTCGCACATTAAAATGAACGTTTAAGTTTCCATGGTAGAGGAGAAAACACGTTTGACTGTTGTTGATTTTCCCCTAAACGTACGAAACTTGCATGTTCCCGAAGGCTTAGGGGCCTCCTTATTAGTGTAAAAAAGTTCGGTGTCTTTACAAATGTTCAACGCTATGACACATCAACTGTTAGTTTTTTATTCAATACCTGTGCAGATGCAATTCATGAATTCAGCAGCAAAAACCTTTTTAATATCATGCAGACTCGCCTACCGAGAAGTTGAGGCAAGAACTGAAATCTCGCCGCAGTCGCGGGATAATGGATGAGATTTGTAAGTTCTGTGGTCTTTCATAATAAGTTTGTAATAATAACTTGACGCAGGTTGGCACTATACGACATAAATCAAAGCTAATAGGCACAATATTATTGGTCACACGTGTTTGGGTTGCAATTGCATGCTGTCCCAGAGAATGCCGTTGTTTTTGTTAGAAATGTCAACGAAGTTTTGTTCATTTTCATGCAGCAAGCTCTCATATTCACAAAATTGTCCCCGTTAAATCAAAAGGGTTTTCTTGCATTGAAACAGTAAATTTCGTTTGTGTGCACACTAGTATTCTATTTTCTTCGAAATGCATTCATGGCGACATTTCACTTCTGACTGTCCACCAGTTCAATGAAATATCTGACAATCATCAAATTAAGAACATAGCATTTTGTGCTTGTTCAACCACAGATCCTACAAGGATCAACGACTCGGGCGTTCCAGCCAGACGGAATTGTGGGGTGATAGCATTGTGTTCCCATTATCCCTTTTTCTAAAGATTCCCTTCTGGGGTGATGTTTTTCTATTGTGAAAAAAGTGGGGTGATGTGTCCTGAAAGGAACATCACCCCACAAGGGTGGTATGGTCAGAACGGCCAAACTTCTGGTTAGACGCGTGATAACGGCCCGTACTGATGGCAAATACCATGAATACTTGTCAACAAAGACCCCTGCGCGCGGTGGCTTTATTTGCAGAGCTCTGCGCCCGATCTGGTGTCGAAGTCGGTCAAGCCAGCTAATTATATATTTGAATATTCATGAGTCTGCGTTTTTGGTCTTTATTTTTGAATTGTGAAAGGCCGAGCACATTTCATCGGTTCGGGACCACATCTCTCAAAAAACTTTTGTATGAAAGCCTCATTAAAAACGAAATTTGGGTAACGGTGTTCTTCTTGAAATTTGATATTTATTTTCCGGGTAAATACTTCATCTATGACAACAAAAACTGCACAATACCATCTGTTATATCATGAAGTATTAAATTTTTTAACAATTTTTGGAACAAATATATCTTAAGGAGTAGTTTTGCTTACAGTTTTATGAATATTTTCGTTTTAGATGTCATGCAAAATAACCGACAAAATTGCACACCTGGACAATTCGCGATTACAAGCCAAAGGGTATTCATGCCTGTTATCACGCGTCTAACCAATTAAGGCAAGTCCGCTCAGTGCATTTTGTACTAGAGCTCAGAACAGTCGTTTATCCTTGTGTGTAAGATCCGTGGTTCTACTTCGTTTATAGGCAATCAATTGCTACCGTCAAATGGTTCATTTATAAATATCAAGATTGATTATTCACACACTGAGTGTACAATTCTCCTTTCAGTGGGCACAAGTTCTTGGCGTTTGCTGCTTGTTAAATCAGTTTTATCCTGTTGTTTGCCTTAATCTAAAAAATAAACAAACATTTGCATTGTTTTGAATCGGAAGACAGTATAACAAAAATTCTGAAAATCGAAAAGTGAATCTTATGAATCTTCAATGGAAATGAAAACAAGATGTTTTGTTGTTTATTTGCATTGTTAATCTTTGAACGGGTCCGTTTATAATTGGCTTTTCCGCTTAAAAAAAAAGCTTTTAGTTCTCCCCCAATCCCGTAGACTTTGTAATTCATGTTTAATTCAGTCTAGTTTTTGGTTAATTTCTGTTCACTCGGAACATGTTGAAATCTGAAAGCAAATAGCACAGAAAAAAAGAATGCAAATATGTGAATCAATCATGTGTGTCCATTGAGGAAATTGAATTCGTTCGAATAAATGAATTTGAAGTTGAACCAAATTATTTGTCATGCCAACGCTATTGCTAAACATAGGGAAGAGTTTGTTGGGGACTAAATGTATTAATTTTCAAATGAAACTGATTGAAAAAGACGAGTTTTAAATTGAACGACCTTTTTTTTTGGGGGGGGGGGTGAAATTTGCCGAAATCCGATATTCCATAGTTATATCTTTCTAAGATCATAATTCTGAGAAATAGCGATATCTGAAGTTCGGAACTAGTCCCTACGGAACTCCAGAGGTGCCATCCTAGATGTTGAGATCTTGTCATAATTTATCACGGGATGACAATATCGTACACGTAAAACGTCGACATCCTGATGAGATAGTTTATCACGGGATGACGTTTATGACGACATGTTTTAAGAGGGATGACAACATCCTCGGATAGATCTATCACGGGTAGCACAATCCCGAAAGTAGGATCCCGACATCGTGAGACAATAATATCACGGGATGACGACATCTTGAAAGTAGAATGTCGACATCCCCAGATACCTTCCAATGCTGTTAAGTAGTTATGAGAAAGCAATCCTGCTTTCAGGATGTCGTCATCTTGTGATAAAACATCTTAGGACGTTGACAAAAAAAATACGTGTAGGATGTCGTCATCCCGTGAAAGGTTATCACAGTATCTCAATATCTTGAATGGCACCTCCAGAGCCCTGTAAGTCCCTTTTCTTTGTGGTATAAAAAGAAGTATTTTGAGGCTTTTACTTTATGGTAATTTATTCTGGGTGCCTGTAAACGTTAAACATGAACAGTCTCTTTAAAGCTTCCTTCAACAGATTATCCACACAAATATTTCTATACGAGTCATTCACTTCCATGTTGGTTTCTGTTTTAGTTTGCGATTCTAGTGCCGAATGTGGTCGAGGACTATATTGTTCTTTCCCTCCCTACGAGGGAGGTACGGGCATGTGCTGGCGGGTTGGAAACCCGGGACGTTAGGAATTCGGACAATCAACATGAATGAATTAAACCATGGTAAGCCCATCATTATCAATTGATGAACTTTTCCCATCTTTTCTCTAAAGTAGGTCTAGCGTTGCAAAACCTCTCTCTTTACGACATTTAAATGCAAACATAACAATTATTAGTAGTGTCTAAACTTTTTGTCCTCGTAAGTCCATTGTAAGTCCTTGAAATAATCATGGTGTTTTTATTTTATTATCTCCGTGCAGATCGTCAATGGTTAACCGACAGCAAGGCCTTAGTCTGATTAAATAAAATGATTTGACTTTAATTCAGCTTTTTTCTTTCCTGATAAGATTGTCTCATTTTTGTTTACGATACTGGGTCCGTGTTCCAGCCAGTTTTTTTTTCATTGATTCTGTGACAGTGCTGTTCACGTGTAAAGGCTGCTCACTCTGAATTTAAAGAGCACTTTTGAAATCAAAATGAAACAAAAATATATATAATCGATCCGTGAATACGGACATATATTAAACGATCGGTACATTTGATTTTTTTTACAGAACGCATACAAATCCTAAAGATAAATTCTTCTCGTCATTTAAATGGCACGAAAAGTGAGCTCGAATACGGACTTAATTATTATTTCCACTGTTATTTGTCTTAAAACAATATACGTTTGTTCCTGTCTGTAATGGTTTTTGTTCTTGGGCTCTTGGGGTATCAGTGTTGCGTGGTTATCATTATCCGTGATGATGGGTAAAATCCACTTTTGAAAATACCGTAAAGTTCAAGGGTGCACAAAAGCTATACTGGTTCTATAATACAGGAAGATGTTCACATGCAATCTTATTTTTCTCGCTGAGGACTAATATTAAGTGATACTATTCCTTAAAAGAATGATTGTTGCCTTATCGATTAAAACCTGCCATTTTGTTGTGTAAAATACTCAGCCATAAATTATGTAGATCTTTGTTACCAATCGCAGATAGGTTGTCCTTGATGGAATTTATTCTCATATAAAAGGTGTTTGTTCACTGTAAAAGAAGATCCTTCAAATAGGACTTTGAAATCATTTGTTATTACTTGTGAACGTAGGCTATGTCTTATCCTTTTTCATCCTTCGATGCTTTCTCTTTCGTAAACGTACTGTGAATGATACATCGTCTTGGCAAAATAAATTGACCCTTGCATGCATAATAATTCATCAGTGTCCATGAATGAATTTTCTAGACGTCTGTCTGTCATAGTCATCCATGTTATTTGATTGTGTTTTCAAACCTCTGGCTCATTTCTTCCATACTTGAAAAAAGTAGAAACAAAATTGGTCATGAAAAGGTAAAAGGGACGCCCTCTTTGTACACAATCCGTGTGTGGAGGCCTGTGCATTATTGTCATTTTATCATGACCCCTACCTAGTCAAGAAGTGCATCTGTTTTTGAGGATGTGCGAGCCTTTGCCGCCATTATACTGGTTCAAATCCTAGATATAATATTATGGTGTTCCCTTGGGCTATGAAAGCAATGGGAAGCTCAACCAATAGCAGTCCATGCTTTAAGAGAATGAGAACACGTTTCCTACAAACAGAAAAAATATATATCACGTTTATCATAACAAGCAATGTCCCAGTCCATTTTGTGATTACGTTCGCCACAATTGATTGCAATCGCACCTCAGCTTTCCTCTCATATTTTAATGCAGAAAAGTAATGCTCCGAACAGCGAAGCCATCGTTCTACAGCGCAGTGCAGCATTTTATTTTGCCCATGCATGCAATGATGCAAATACAGAAAAGCAGCATTTTTTTTTTTAGATAAGGGTGCAGACCAGTAAATCGGTCCGAAATTGCCTGCGCCGGCCAAATCACGATTTGCATGCCCTCAAAATCTTCGGTATTTGGGCATGCTTTGGGCCATGAACTTGAGGGTTTGTAAAAAAATATGGGTGGAAGCCGTGCACAGGACTGGGAGCTTGCAGTTCTGTGTAATTTTGATGTAATCTGGACCCTAAGAGCGCTCTATTTTGCAATGGAGTGTAGGCATCGTTTTTCAAAATGGCGATGGGCTTCAGGACTTTTTTCAGGGGTGATCATCTTCAGATGGAAATTTCTCCTAAAAGTCATCAGTTGACCCCCCCGAAAATTGAAAAGAAAATGAAAGATGATGAAATAAGCTTTAATTTGATGTGCGTCTCGAACACCTTAGAGAGTTGTGAGTATTTTTCCCGAATTTTTGAAGTGGGAGCATTTACCATTGGGGTCTATGGAAGTTTATTTACTGGTCTGCTACCTGTAGTTTCAAAATGGCGCCTTCCATCGTTTGTTGTCAAATGTTTGCGGAGTGTTTTTTTTCAGGGGGGCGGAACCTGGGGGGGGGGGGCAGCGTTTCAAAAGGGGTCACCAATGGCGGTTCCGCAACAAATGCGCCCAAAATCTGAATAGGGCCGATGGACCGTCGTCCGATCACAGCAATTTCGAGCGAACAAGGGGGGGGGGGGGTAATTTGGGGTCGGAAGGAGCAAAAACTCAATTAACGCCCGTTGGGGGCGCCCTACAGTAAGGTAGCCGCAAACAGAGGGCTTGTTTTCAGGCCAGAAATCGCAGTCAGAGATTTTTTTTCTTGCAATTTTTTGATGAAATATGAGTCATCCATCCTTCCTCGTGCCGTACAAGTGGTTTGGGGAAATTTTTCAAAACCTCGCTTCTCTATAGGGTGCAGACCAGTAAATCGGTCCGAAATTGCCTGCGCCGGCCAAATCACGATTTGCATGCCCTCAAAATCTTCGGTATTTGGGCATGCTTTGGGCCATGAACTTGAGGGTTTGTAAAAAATATGGGTGGAAGCCGTGCACAGGACTGGGAGCTTGCAGTTCTGTGTAATTTTGATGTAATCTGGACCCTAAGAGCGCTCTATTTTGCAATGGAGTGTAGGCATCGTTTTTCAAAATGGCGATGGGCTTCAGGACTTTTTTCAGGGGTGATCATCTTCAGATGGAAATTTCTCCTAAAAGTCATCAGTTGACCCCCCGAAAATTGAAAAGAAAATGAAAGATGATGAAATAAGCTTTAATTTGATGTGCGTCTCGAACACCTTGGAGAGTTGTGAGTATTTTTCCCGAATTTTTGAAGTGGGAGCATTTACCATTGGGGTCTATGGAAGTTTATTTACTGGTCTGCTACCATAAACATGTTGCATGAATTCGGGCGATTCACAATGCAGTGCGCCACCTAGAGTTTGCCTCGGAGAATTCATTTTTCCCAGCGCACTAATTTGGGGGGGGGGGGATTGTCGACAAATTGGCAGCGCGGACATACTCGTTCCAAGGGAGTCGAGCAGTACGCTCCTACCATTACTATACTCTCTCACTGGATCATTTGCATGTTCAAAATTCTTGCACACATATGATAATTAGGAATAGTCTGGTGCCTGGCTTTGCGTTAAATCAGCATTTGTTGTTTTTCAAGTTAAAGTGTTACAATCGTATCCAGCCAATATGCGGTATGGGGGTTGCGTATTAATATGAGCAACTTAAGAAAGGATTATTCAGAAGGAGTTGTGGATATTATAATTAAGTTGAAGGTGAAAACACGTAATAAACGAAATAACAACACCAAGTACACGATATAAATCCATTACCTGCTAATTGGGCTATAGAATTAGAATACAGGAATCAAGTTCCTGGCTCGGGAAATAATTAATAAGCCCGGCTCTGGGGACGAGGTTGCAGCGCGGCGGATATTTGACATTGTTAGTTTGTTCGGTCAGTAGTTCAGTTCGTAAGCGTGTATGATTCGAGTATATGTTTGTCCTTTTGTTTTCTTTTCTTATTATCAATTTGGTGGGTTGTTTAAAGGCGGCACAACGCTATATGCCCCAATCTATAACAAATTAGTTCAAGTTGTCTACTGCATGACACTCGTTCAATTGAGCCTTGTTTTCTCGACCGTACACTTAAAAAATGGACTCTCCGTGGCAAACTCTTGTTGGCGCACTGTATATTGTGAAACGCCCGAATTGGGAACAGCGAATGGAATTTACCGTGTTCACAAAGAAATCCGTAAAATACAAATAATAATAACGTTTCTAATAGGCTAAAAATTCTAATAATGATAAGATCCGATATAAAAATCTAGCGAGCCTGACAGTCCAGAATGTAGTGCCTTGATGCTGGGCCTTGGCCTTAAGGCTACCTTAAGGCTGGACTTTAGGGCCTTGGCCTTGGCCTCGAGGCTTGAGAGCAAAAGCCTTGGCCTTGGCCTTGACCTTGAGGGGCCAGTGCCTTGCAATTTTGAGTCAAGGCTCTTCAAGGCCCATAGATTTTTGCATTTTCCAGATAAATCTGTTTGAAATTTTGCTGTTACCATTTTAATCGTGTTACCATGGAGGAGGGAAACACGTACCCTTTAGATTTGTGTGTTGGGCACACTTTCACTTTGATAGCATCACATTTTGTTACCATTGTAGTACATTTTGCTGCAATAATTTTCTGTGGGCTAAGGAGATAATCACTTAAATTGCGTACAATTATGGAATATAGACACTGCCCTCAATAACTGGTACTATGCTACATGTAATTTGAGGTCAGATTTGGGGTCGCTTTCCACATGGTTTGATCTTGAGCACATCATACAGAATTGAACTGATCACCTATCACTGGATTTTAGATCACTGAAACAGATAAACAGTATGACATTAAAATGTCTGCCGATTCAGCGATAATCAAGTTTGGTTTTAAGGACTACACGGATCTTAAAGCTTCAAATGGGAAGCAGAAACAAACAGCCCGCTGCGAATTCTGCACTACGGATAACTGAACAGATAACTGAGCCTGTATATAGGAGTCTTTATTCAGTCAGTTAACTTTTTGTAAGTGAATATGATGGGACTTAGAGAATTATATAAGTAAAGCCACAAAAAGTTTTAGTGAGCTACCTGTTTTCTAACTGATGATCAATCTGATTGGTTGTATATACGTCTCCCTGATAAGTGCTAAAGATTTGCATGTATCTGTTTGTTTAGGTAATGCTAATATTTCTGACCATGTTGGCCCCGGCAAATAAAAATTCCCCAAATCGGTTTCTTGGATCCCTCTTTTGTTACACTCGGGAGAATTGTGCGTCAATATAGAAGTAAATCATTATTTTGTTTTGTTTTAGTTAAACCATATCCATGAAGACCTGAACTTATAGATACAATGCAGTCATAAAACATTGCATGTGAGCATTTTGATTGCAATTAAAGACAAGTTGTTCTTCTTAATGAGCGATTCGTGATGATGTGTCATGTGACCATAATTAGTTCTAAATTAGTGGTCATTTTATAAAACAGGGCCTTGAGGGGTAAGCCTTGGCCTTAGCCTTAAAGGGAATATACAATGTACAATATTTGCAAACATCACAAAACGAAATGATCGAATTATCACGAAATACCTTACTGGATTGTTAGGGAATGACAGTCTCAAACATTCTGTAAAATCGTGGCTCCTATAGTGTGCTGTCATTTTCAAGAAAAATGGGATTTTTTCCAACGCTGGTCGGCCGACCTGGCTTTTTTTCAAAAAGTGCTTCTAATTTTTCATAATTAGTTATGCCGCGTTTTCTTTGCAATTGATTACACACCTGTGAAGTGGTACAAGCCTGCTAGACTGATTCTCTGACCTTACAATTCCGCAAAGGTTATACATTGCTCTGTTTCATCTTAAGTGGGGTCAGGGAACCAGACTACAAGAACATGATTGGTTTTCTTGGTTTTTCCAGCATCTACAAGCCCAAATCGCGAAACAAGTCATTTTAACAATATTTGCTATAACATACTAATCCTCCAAATCCATTCATTTCTGAAACTTGCAGCAAAAGCAAATGTTGTACATTCCCTTTAAGGCTTGAGGGTCAAAGCCTTGGCCTTGGCCTTAAGGGTCAAAGCCTTGGCCTTGAGGGTTAATAAAGCCTTGGCCTTGAGGGTCAAAGCCTTTGCTCCAACATGTCTGACACCCCCCACTCGCCACAATTCCTGGATCCGCCGACTGCTGATGCATGGTCGAGTCACAATAACGCGCCGGCCAGCAGTTACATGAACTACACGTTTTTAAAAGTAAGTAAGCGAGAATCAAGATGGCGGCTGTCTTGTCAAACAACGCTGACATTTTGCTTTGCGCAAATGACATGAAATAACAAGCTTTGCTGCAAATATATCTTGTTATTTTCGT